TCACAGCCACCCTGTATAGGGTTTCCAAGGAGTTGTTTTTGTTGTTATGTGCCGTGGAGTCGGCGCCGACTCATAGCGACCCTGTACAGGGTTTCCGAGGCTGTAGATAGTTACGGGAGCAGAACGCCTCATCTTTCTCCCTTGGAACAGTTGGTATTTTTGAAGTGCTGACCTTGCAGTTCGTAGCCCGATTCGTAACCACTACGCTACCAGAGCTCCTTTCCAAGGAGTGTCAATTATGAAATTATTAACTTTATACAAACATGTTATTGTTTCTGCTAAGCATTGTCAAGTTGATTCTAACTCATAGTGACCCTATGTACAACAGAAGAAAACACTACCCAGTTCTCTGGCGTCCTCAAAATCTCATAATTATTCCTATTTCAGCCATTTGTTTCAGCCAATGTGTCAACTCATCTCTTTGAGGGTCATTGCTGTTAGTTACTATCAGGTTGGTTAAGACCCATTGTGACTTTATGCACAACAGAATGAAACACTGCCTGGTCCTGTGCCATCCTCACAAATGTTGAATTGCTTGAACCCACTGCTACTGCCACTATGCCGATCCATCCCATTGGCGGTTTTCTTTTTCACTGACAAACCACTTTACCAAGTATGATGTCTTTCTCTAGGGACTGGTTTCTCCTGACAATATGACAGTATGAGAAATGAAGTCTTGCCATTCTGGCTTCTAAGGAGCATTCTGGTTGTAATTCTTCTAACATAGGTTTGTTTGTTCTTCTGGCAGTCCATGGTACTTTTAATATTTTTCTCCTATACCAAAACTCAACTGCATCAATTCTATTATGGTCCTCCTTATTCATTATAAAACTTTCATATACATATGAGGCGATTGAAAATACCATGGCTTGGGACAGGAGCACCTTATTAGTCCTCAAACTGACATATTTACTCTTAAACACTTGAAAGAGATCTTGTGCAGCAGATTTGCCTAATGCAATTCATTGTTTGATTTCTCAACTGCTGTTTCCATGAGTGTTGATAGTGGAGCCAAGCAAAAAGATGTCAATCTTTTCGTCACTTATAATGTGGATCATAGCATATTTAAAATGGAAGCTGTTTTGCTGTTGTTAGGTGCTGTTGACTCGGTTCCAACCCATATTGGTCCCATGTAGGATTACTGAGGATATAAATCTCTGTGGGAGCAGAAAGTCTCATCTTTCTCATCTGAAGTAGCTCGTGGATTTGAACTGCTTATTTTGTGGTTAGCAGCCAAACACATAAGCCACTATACCACCCATTCCTCTTTTAAAATAGAAGAGAAATAGAAATCACTCAGATCAAATTAATAATAGTTTAATAATAAAAAAGACATTTAGTAATGGAAGAACTGTGACTAGGATGTAGATCTCCTTTATCTAAAATAAATAAATAAAGGCAGCAGTCAGGGGAATGGATAACAAAAATAGCTACACTAATAAAACAAATATACTACTAAAATAAAACATAAACCATTTTTGAAATGAGGTGCTGAAATGGATTATAATTGAAAATAAATAATGTTTAAACACATTCATCATCTTCTACTAAGGTGTGGAAGTAATAATAGAATATTTACAAAATGGTACTGGCCTACTAACCAGCGAGTCCTTCTCTCAATGTTACATAAGGGAACACAGTTTAGATAACCTGACAGTTGATCAAATAATAAATAATAAAGTATTAGGGTGAATTAATTTTGCCTTTATTTATTATTTTGTTTTGTTTTGTTTTTAATTAGATATTTAATCCGACCAGATCCACTGGCATACCTTCCAAACAGTGAACCCAGTCGAAAAAACAGCATTTGCAATGCCGCTGGACAAGACTCTCGGGAAGAAACTCAGCTATGATACAAAGAAAGGAGACATTTGATTCCCACTAGGGTCAGTTTGAACCACAAGGTCAGCAGTTCAAACTCACCAGCTACTTCTCGGAAACCCTATTCAGGGTCACTATGAAACAGAACCAACTCGAGGGCACTTAACAAAGACAACAAAAGATCTTGCTCAAAACTACTCTAACCATTAGAACAAAAGCGCAGCTGACATGAAACAAACTAGATTGTGTTCCATTCTCTTATATATATATATATATATATATATATATATAATAAAATAGGTCTCTTAAAGGTATAGATAATTTTGAAACTTAATATACTATCAAGTGGTGTTCATCCCATCAATATTTGAAAGATATAAATGGAATGATTTTTGGAAAATTAGACTAAAACATGAAAATTTAAGTACTATGTTTAATATTTATCAGACAAAATTTAACTGTATAAAGCTGATTTTAACATGATTCAGGTTTTATGAAAGTAAACAAAAAATCCAACTATATTTGGTGCATTACAATGGACATAGAAGATTGTTGCTTCACTTAATGTTTCATATTATATTCTTTAAACTTACTGTTTTATAAAAATGGAGCTATCATATATGTCTAGTCTTCACAACAAAGAGTTTAACAACTTATGTGGTTGATTTATGTCTAAGCATTATAGTTTGCTTTAGAATATATGTGTTTGTCATTTTAGCCATTTTTTGTCTGCTTTTTCATATGATATATTCATTGTAGAATTTGAAGTGTTCATAGCATGTTTCATTACACTGAAGAAACCAAAACATAAACAAAAAGAAATATTAAGTATTTGATATTTTTTAAACTTTACAAATGACGAACATTGTAGTCCAAGAAGCATACTAAGAAGCAAATATATATTATTCCCCTAAAAGAATGAGTAACGTAAAGAAAATACTAAACATACTTTTGTTGGCTTACATTTAATCCACAAATTGGTACATTAACTGTATTTCTTGAAATTTGCAGCTACAATTTTCATTAGACTCCTGGGCATTCACATTTTTCATATATGTATATATGGTATATTCATTAGAAAGATACTTTATAAATCAAAGAAACAAATTATGCTTTTATGAACGACAAAGTAATTTTAAAATACTGAAAGTTTGCTTTATGCCTTGGGTAAGAAATAATAAAGGAGGCTTGGTGGCACAATGGTTAAGCACTTGGCTGCTAGCTAAAAGGTCAGCAGCTTGTTTCCATCAGCCTTTCAGAGGGAAAAGAGACCTGGCTATCTTTCTGTTCCCATAAAATTACAGCCTAGGAAACACTAAGGAGTACTTCTCTGTCCTATAGGATTGCTGTGAATTGGAATCAATGTGACAAAACACAGCAACAGTTACAACTAAAATAATAGCACACACAAAAATGGTATGTCTAGGAGCGCTGATAGCGTAGTCGTTACAAATCAGGCTGCAAACCGCAAGGTCAGCAGTTCGAAACTACTAGCAGTTCCGCGGGAGAAAGATGAGGCTTTCTGCTCCGGTAAAGATTTACAACCTTGGGTCGCTATGAGTCGGAACCGACTCCACGGCACACAACCATCACCAATTAGGTAATCTAACTTTGAAAAATCATAAAGAGGAAATATATTTTAGCATAGTAGGAAAAAGCACATAATTTAGAATATGTAGCTTGTATCTTTTAAATTTACTATAGATGATGCAAAATTTGACATAATTGTTCATTAAATATGTATCAAAATTTAAAAATACATGGACTCTTAATGGTAGCAATTATTTTGTCTGTATTGTTTTTTCCATCCCTACTATAGATAGAGACCAAAAAGCGCAGGAGAATGTATACATGGTTTACCAGGTATATTATGGGTGAGATATTGATAAATTAAAAGATATATTCGTCTTCTAATTTTGTATTTTTCCTTATTTCTGAATTTGATATTATGTTGCACTTCAGCAAAAATAGTATATATTAACCTAGAAAATTCTTTACCTTTTCTCTTAATAAAAAAGCAGGCTAATTGAAAGGAAAATTTGCAAACTTGGATAAAGGAAGCTCAGTAACCCCCAGTGATTCTATAAAAATAAAATTCAAGATATAAATTGTAAAGTCAAAGATTATAATTATTCTTTAATTTGACTTGGGAAATATGAAATGTTTTGTTCCTGTTTTTTGTTGTTGTTGATATATATATACATATTTTGCCTTTTCAGCATTTTCTGCTATTCTGCACTCAATTTATAATGACAAGAACATATCCTAAAACAGAGAGAACCTAATCTTTAATCAGATAAGGAATTTCTAGCAGGTTAGGTAAAATTGGAAGCATGCCTTAAAACTGAAAGATTGTATATATATATATATGAATGTGTATATGTATATACATATATATATATGCATATATATGCAAAATATATTTGACAAACACATAGTCACATATACATTTTTAAAAGAAAAATGTATGTAATGGAGAACAATAGTGACTTTTAATGATTTTTTTTCATATTTGTGCATCAATAATCAACTATTATGTTTCTTTGTGTTGACATTCTTTATTCCATTGCAATTATTTTTAGAAATTGATGTAATATTTTACACATCTTCTACTTCCCCATGGAATCCCAAGATCATTTTTACATTATGACTGCTGTCAACACTAGAATTTTAAGCTAGGAATGATTATATTTCCTATGAAACTAAAACATATTTGATAAACACTTAAATAATTATTTTTTATTATGAACATTAGTTCAGATTTAATATTTGACACTATTCATATCAGCTTGCTATATTAATAATAGTTTATTAGCCTTTCTATTATTTAAAGAATGATATGATTATAATAGTATTTTAACAAATTGTTGCCTTTTAAAAATAATTATACTTGCACATGATAATAAAACAGAAAGTCCTTGTAACTCTATAGTTGGATCTGTTCATTGTCTATGTAATATTTTGCTACAAGTTACACTGAATTGCTTTAAAATAAACAATAAAACTATTTCTCATGATGAAAACTCTTGGTGTTCTTTTCCAAAACTTTAGTTGTGTAGATAAATTGTACTTTGAGTGAAGCAATCAAATTTGTCAATTTAATATTTCAAAACTAAAGTATTAAAGTAATATCATTAGAAAACTATTCATAATAACTTGTTGTTGAACTTCTTAATATGATTGTTGTCCACCCCAACACCCGAACTATGATGTGTCTATCCCCTACTCTGTGCTCTACCGTCCCCTCCCTCTACCTGCTTCTAACCAACAAGGAATTTTATTTTTTCCTTTTTGGTAAGGGTATCTTTTCTTAAGCTTTTACAATCATGGTCTTATGCAATATTTGTCCTTTTGTGATGGTCTAATTTCACTCAGTATAATGTCCTCAAGGTTCATCCACGTTATGCAGTGGCTTGCCCCTCTATCTACTTTTGATGCTTTCTGCATTGTTCAAGATTTTGTCCAAAAAATCCTTCTGTAGTACAAGTAGAGGCTTGAATTTTTTTCTTAATTCTTTCAACTTACAAATTGGTGACACTGTTTTCCTCTTTTTGTTTTCTAACTCTAGATTGTTGCACATTTCATTATAGTATTTCACTTTGTCTTCTCAAAGACCCTTTGAAATGATCTGTTCAGCTCTTTTACCACCTCATTTTTCCCCATTTATTTTAGCATCTCTATGCTTTTGACATACATTTTAGTCTTTTCTTTACTCCTTGTCTTCTTAATGACCTTTTGCTTTCTACCTGCATGATGAACTTAATGTCATCCCAGAATCTTCTGGTTTTAGGTCTTTCATGCCAAATGCATCAAATCTCTTCTTCAGATGATCTCTACATTCACGTGGGATATTCTCAAAGTCATATTTTGGCTCCCTTAGATTTGTTTTAATTCTCTTAAGCTTCAACCTAAACTTACATATAAACAATTGATAGTCTGTTCTACAATCTGCCTATGGTCTTTCTTTGAATGATATGGACCTTTTGCATGTCTCTTTCCACAGCTGTAGTCAGTCGATTTGATTTTTGTGTATTCCATCTGGCAAGGTTCATGTGTACAATTGTCTTTTTATGTTGTTTAAAAAAGATATTCATAATGAAGAAGTCACTGGTCTTATAAAATTCTACCATGAAATCTCTAGCATTGTTTCTATCACCACCATATTTCCCAACTACTGATCCCTCTTTTATGTTTCTTTCCTTCACATTCTAATTACCAGCAATTATCAGTACACCTTCACTGCATGTTTGATCAATTTCAGATTGAAGAAGTTGGTAGAAGTCATCAATTTCATCATCACTGGCTTTAATG